TTGTTTTGGTTTAGCTTCACTTTTAATATCTTCTACACGCTTCCATTCCGTCTTCTTCCTCTTCTTTCTGCATGAAATTAAAGGATATGTACTCAATTGAATATTAGAAATAATATCATAAAATAAAATCATACCCGCCACACTCTGTTATTTGCGTTTCAAGTTCTAGTGGTTGGTTAAGTTCATTTTTAATTTCTACCACTTCCTTCCAATCCTCATTCCTAGCATCCTTCCTGCAAGAAAAGGGTATTTACTGATTTAATATTGGAAAAAATATCATATAATAAAAACATAAATGCAATTTTGTAGCATTTACGGTCCAAAGTTTCAGCCGTGGAAAATCGTTGACATCAGCTTCTAAAACTTTTTTTGCTTCCATCCAATTATGAGGTCTGTTTCTGCAAGAAAAAGATATATATATATAAGATTTTGTATGTAAATAAATTTTAACTCTAAAATAAAAACAGAAAAGCATTACGTCCAAATTTTCAGTTCAGGTCCAGGAGGTTTAAAAATCACTGTTGCTTTCATCGATCCCACGTCCCTGCGAAAAAAAAAGAAAAAAGAAAAAAAGGATATGTACTCAATTTAATAGTAAAAAAGATATCATAAAATAGAAGTATAGACGCAATTTTGTACTGGCATTTACGTCAAAAGTTCCAATGGTTTTAAAATTTCATTTGCTTCGACCAAACGCTTGTCCTTGCTCCAAAAAATGGATATATGTACCAATTTAACAGTAGAAAAAACATCATAAGATTAAAGCATACACGCAATTTTATACTAGCATTTACGTGTAAAGTTTTATTGGTTTTAAAATTTCGTTTGTTTCCATCCAAACACTGTCCCTGCCCCTGCAAAAAGAAGATACTTGTACTCAATTTAATAGTAGAAAAAAAATCACAAAATAATATAGGATATATGCATGCAATTTTGTAGCTTTTACGTTTTAAGTCTTGGTTTAAAAATTTTTTTCGCTTTCATCCATGTATGGACTTCGTATCTGCAAGAAAAAGATGTATGTACTCAATTAAATAGGAAAAAAAATCATCAAATAGAAGTATATACATAATTTTGTAGCATCTACACGTAAAGTAGTATTGAATAAGAAAATTTAACATCAAGAATATAATAAAAAAATATAATTTAAGTATAATAAAAACTATTTCATTTATAACTAATTTTAAATTATACATAAATTTTATATTAAAATTCACATACTCATTTTTCACGTAAAGTTGCAATGGCGCTGGTTGATAAGCTTGACTAATTAATTCTGCTTCCTTCCGACCCGGCTCCCTGCAAGAAAAAGGTTTGTACTGAATTTTACAGTTGAAAATATTTATCATAAAATAAAAGCATACACGTAATTTTTTACTAGGATTTACAGTACTTCAAACTTTACCATTTTTCTCTTTCCGCTTGCTTCGAAAGGCTTTTCCTGCAAGAAAAAGATATATATACCCAATTGAGTAGAAAACGTATCATAAAAAAAGGCATACACACAATTTTTTTCTAGCATTTACTTCAATTTATCCCATTTTTTTTTTGTTCCGTCTCCCACTCCTCTTTCCTGCAAGAAAAAAAAATATATTCAATTTAACATTAGAAATAAGAATTATTCACATCACTTATATAAAATATTTATTTTTAATTGAGATTTATTAGGTTTTTTAGATCAATTAAAAATAATATTTATTTTTAAAAAATATAATTTTAAGTGAATAAATCTCAACCAATAAATTATTAAGATTTTATGATATGTATAAGTGAATGCTAATTCTAAAAATAATATCATAAAATAAAAAGTATACAAGCAATTTTTTATTAGCATTTACGTGAATCCTGTCGGTGGTGGATCTGCAATAATTTTTTTTGCAGATCTATAATATAGAGAGCAGACTGCAAGATCACGATCCACTGTCTCCACAATCTCATTACCAACCAAACGCCTTCCTCCCTAAAGAAAACATTGTGAAGAATTATAAGGAACACAGTTATAATGCCAAAAGAAGAGGAGAAAAAGAAAAAAAGGAAGAAAAACCCCTCCATCCACATCAATTTAACTGTCACACTGGTTTAATTTATTCTTGAAATTTATTTTTAACCACACCATTAAATTTTATTTTTACAATTTTACCCCTATTTGGACTGTCTAATTACTCTTTAATAGAAAATGACACATTCCCTAAAAAAGAAAATATCATACCTGGAGATTTTTATTATTATCATTGAAATGTGTCAAGACATTCCTCGTAAACTTTATAATATCTGAACCTTGATAATAATAAGGAGTACTCTGATTACTTTGTCTTTGATTAAATGAAAGAGGCTCTTGGTCACTTTGTCCTTGATTAGATGAAAGAGCTTCCTGGTCACTTTGTTCTTGATCATGTGCATGACTTGATGACCGATTGTCATCAAAACGCCCTTTTTGCCTTCTATTCGACTCAGAACCTTGATCAGATGAATGAGCTTCTTGGTCACTTCGTGCTTGATTACACGTATGACTCAATGGTAGGTTGAACCATTGTGTTTTACCTTGACTTTTTCCAGATTTGTGGTTGTTGGCGTGTCAAAATGGATGGAGTCGCCATTTATCCAAATAAGGTGGGATAGATCACCAAAGTCTACGCAGAAATTGACTAGGTTCGGAGGGTTGGTTAAGCATGGGGAATGTGTTAAGTACCTCACAACTTCCAAATAATATGGTTACCATATACTTTAATTTTGGGAACTTTCAATTTTATATAACAAAATAATAATAATTACCCAAGAACATAAAATAAAATAAAATAAAATAAAAAACAAAAACTTCAAAACCCCATTATTGTCTTTTTCCGTCCCTTTTTTTTATTTTGTTTTCTTTTTTTTTGATTTATCAATAATAGCTACCACCCAAGAACATAAAAAAACATAAAAAAAACAAAAACTTCAAAACCCATTATTGTCTTTTTCCGTTCCGTTCTTTTTATTCATTTTG